ACGGAAGTCTGGGACAATCTGCTTGGTGTTCCTGTGACACTTGTCCCATGATTTGCCAGTGCAGCCCCGTGAATACATGGACGAAAATGTTTCCACCACCACCCTACGAACTCAAGATTGCATACTCCAGCATCCATACTTTGAATAATTTGCACGCCGCACAGTGCAGTACTGGAAACAGCATTTATTAGACAGTTAGACAAAAAACAAAACAAAATGCCTGTCTCGATCAATCGAACATCCATAATGTTTGTATGTTGATATGTTTGTAAATAACATTAACGTAAAAGTCGAAACAACCTAGACTAGAAGTCAATTCACCAGCCCAGCCAGCTATGGCTCCCTAAGTTGCTTATATTTAAAGGCCCAGTAGCTGTAATGAAAACGTCTCTAACGGCGTTCTAAATAACTATTTTGGGTTGAAAACTTGTTGCATTTATCTTTGAAATTGCTTATCTCCTGTTATAATAAAATTTACATCGATCTCTGTGCGGATACGAATGCGGAGAAAATGCTCACGATCGAACTCAACGCCATATTTCTAGGTGGTCTGACTGCATTGATGCTGCAGTTCGGCGTCTTCTACACCGATCTGACGCATATCGCGCTAGGTGTGCCGGGAGTTTGTTCGAAATTTCGAACGTTTCGAAGTCAATTGTCGATTGCCACGTATTTTACGGATATATTAAATCGTTTCAGAGACCTGTTTACTAAATAATGATAAATGAAACTTAGAAAGCTTGTAAGAACAAACTGGGCCCAAATCGCACAAATTGCAATAAGTTTACGCTGGTTCGGAGGGAGTTCTACGCGTCATTTTATCGCGCTCAAGGACGTTCTATTTTCGAACTAGTTGAAACCGGAAATAACGCAACTACTTTCGAACAATATTTCACTACAATATGTGATTCAAAGGCAACCCAAATTGTAAAAAGCAATATCAAGTTCCGCGTATAAACACTGTTGTAAAGAGGCGACGGAGCGGAATTTTAGCCAAAATCGTTTAGTAAGGCGTCATATGACACAGGTTTGTGCTGGGACAGCGCTTCCGGTGACGACACAACGGTAAGGCGTCATATGACACAGGTTTGTGCTGGGACAGCGCTTCCGGTGACGACACAACGGTAAGGCGTCATATGACACAGGTTTGTGCTGGGACAGCGCTTCCGGTGACGACACAACGGTAAGGCGTCATATGACACAGGTTTGTGCTGGGACAGCGCTTCCGGTGACGACACAACGGTAAGGCGTCATATGACACAGGTTTGTGCTGGGACAGCGCTTCCGGTGACGACACAACGAAGTACTCGGAATTGCGCACGCGCAAACAATCAGTAATGACGTATGATGGTTTAACAAACGGAGGTTAGGGTACGTACATAAACACTTCACGATGTTGATTCAGTGCTTTTAGCGAGCTTATAAAGCAT